TGCAACTTACGTTATGGATTATATGTTAGACTCAGTCATTTATTTACTATCCTTTCAAATTCCATTTATTAAAAAATATGTTGATGATACAGTGCGTTAAGTTTTTGATTAGGTATTGCACACTATACGGAGCGCTAAAATCGGACACGTTGCAAATGTTCGTTCTCCGACCCGAAAATCTACACCGACAGAAAATCATTTATTTTAGTTTAGTAACTCACAACAACGTTAGGGATATACTTCTCTGTCGTCCGATCTCATGTTTCATTACGTAAAGCCGATTTTAATAGTAGGAAATTCGATAAAAATGCACTGAACTAATCGGTGCATTGTTATCGATTTTTATTAATGTGAAAGTTTTTTTGTGGTTGAATTAAAAATAAAAGCGTATTTCTTTAAAAAGATAAAATAAAAAATATACTCTTATTGAAAATTAAAATATTATTCCTAATAAAATAAAAAATAATTCTTTATGACCTACAGAAATGGTTCAAATAGTTGACCTTCTACGGCTGAACAGTACCCCAATCTGTCATAAAAACTTCTGCGAACAGATGAAAGAGTTTCTGCTGTAACAGAATTGGAGACTTCTCTTATTCGATTTTTTAATTCATCCAAATTTTGGGCTCTAGCCTCAGGATGAGCGTAGATAATGCTTTTTAAATGTCCCCAAAAAAAGAAGTTCATGGGTGTAAGATCTGGAGATCGCGCAGGCCACTTAATATCGCCTGTTCCACTGATAACTCGATTCGGGAAAGTATTGTTTAAATACTCCCTAATAATTCGAGCGTTGTGAACTGAACAGCCGTCTTGATGAAACCAAACATTCTCCAGATTTACATCAGGAAGATTGAGAATAGCGGGAAGAACATGATTCTGTAACAAATCGAGGTATACTCTACTATTCAAGTTACCCTCAATAAAAAATGGACCTATTATGTGGTCTCCTAAAATGCCAGTCCAGACGTTAACTTTTTGAGGACGTTGAGTTCGGTAAACAACACTTCTGTGCTGGTTTTCCCGCGCCCAATACCTCGTAATGGAAGGATTGTGTCTCCCTACTAACGAAACAAGATTCATCAGTGAATAAAATGTTTTTAATAAAATTTGGTTCACTATTAGCCTTCGTTATTAGAGTTTTACAAAACTCCATTCTTCGAAAGTATTCGTCTGGATAAAGCTGCTGCGTTTTCGAATATTTAAAATTCTTGTAACCGTGCTTTTTCCATACTTTCGTTACAGTAACATTGCTAACATCTAACTCTCTACTTGAACTTCTACGCTTCTACTTGAACGTGTTGAATCTACCTCGATTGTTGCACAAATTTGTGTATCCCGGTATTCTCTTTCCTCAACTTTTTCTGGTAACACTTCTCGAGCGTGACATTTTCTGCAATTTTTGAGGCAATAACTCTCAAAATTTTTAACAATATTATAAATTGACTGTACACAAGGAATTGGTCTTCCCTCAAAAAACACAGAAAATAAATCTACACACTGTTGCGCAGAATTGCCACTATAAAACCATTTTAATATTTGAGCTTTTTCCGCGGCCATATAAACAGACATGTTTACAAAAATAAATTAAAACTCTACGCTGTTATACCTTTAAACAACCTCGGTATAATGACAATATGGCAAATTTGCCGACGGGCGACGTGCAAGGACGAGTCAACGAAGCAGATATGTAGTGCAAGTCGAAGACGCGCAGTGTTGCCATTTATAGAGTGTATACCTAATCCAAAACTTAACGCACTGTATAATTTTGGCTATACCCAATGACAAGGTAGATGAACTATTAGACACCTTTAATAGTTATGACCCCTACATCCAGTTCACTATACAGAGGGAAGATGGTAATTGTTCCGTCCCCTTTCTCGACATAAGGATGGTTAGGGAAAACAACAACATTAAAATAGATTGGTATCAAAAACCGACACATTCTGGTAGATACCTTAACTACCACTCTTACCATAATAACTCTACCAAAGTCAACTTAATCAAACATATGAAAAATAGAGTAATTAAACTATCAGATCCTTCATTTCATACAAAAAACCTACAAATCCTTCAGAAACTTTTTATTTCAAACTCTTATCCAACACCATTAGTAAATAAGATTTTTCTTAACACTATCCATAACTAAGATACTTCACCTTCCATCGTGACTAACAATGCTGATCCTGATGTCTTAAGTGGGAACCCAGTCTCGGATACTCCTATCAATAAATATTTTTCATTAACCTGTTTCAGAGATATCACTCCGGGGTTAACAAGGATTCTAAAAAGTTTTGAAAATAGCTTTGGGAATAATAATAATAACATTAAACTTAATGTGGCTTGTAGACCAGCCCTAACAATTAATAATCTTTATTCGAAGATAAAAGATAAGACTCCCATAGATAGGCTTAGTAATATTGTCTACAACATTCCTTGCCTCTCTTGCAGCAATTCCTACATCGGCCATAATACATCTCAATTATTGAAATCACGTATTACACTACACAAAAGTGATTCTCGACTTCACCCTGACCGTTGTGCATTAGCCAAACATGTCCATTCCACTGGTCATCACATAGACTATACGAACACTACAATTCTCCACCGTGAGAACAATAAATCTAAAAGAGAGTTCATTGAAATGTCTTATATTTTCCTTAACGATTTTTCCATCAATGTTAAGAGTGACATTAAGAATCTAAGCGATATATACCACTTCTTACTTAAATCAGATACCAAGAACAATACAACATCATAGATAACTAACTTGACTGATATATCTATTAACAACTAACCTACTTTAATAATAATTTTCATTAACTAAAAAAGATAACATTTCCTTGCTTTTCTTAGATACATCTCAATAAGATATTATTATAATAATACATGAACAATATACTTATTAAAAAAGAATTTCAATTAAGAAAATTCTAAACTAATATCTTCCCAGACTGGGATCTAACTTCATCGGTTTTACCAATGAACCTTAAAGACATAAATATTCAAAAAAACTACTTGTAATTGTCAGCGCTTGCTTTCTATGAAAACAGAACCTCACATTCAAACTTTATAACAATCAAAAATTTAGTTATTGCCGACAATTCAAAGAATTACTTCCTTTAAATGTAGTTACATTGGGTTTTTCGATTAACCTTGGGTAAACCTTTGCGTTTTAAGTTCAAAGCTACCATACATTTCCAACGTTAACAAAAATAACTTTTTTGCACATAGTAACAAAAAAAAAACACCACTATGTTGTTACTAGCTAAAGTTTTTTAACATCATAACTCGACATTTCTAAAATTTACGGTAAGGTAAATGTTTTTTATTAGATAATATATGGTAGCTAATTATAATTTATTCTCTTTCAGCCCTGAAGAAGCCAAATTAATTCTCTTTGGCGAAAACGTTAGGCGAAACAATTGATACACATTAGAGTTTTTCTTGCAGATTTCCCCAATATTTAAGAGTTTACTATATATATATATATATATATATATATATATATATATATATATATATATATATATATATATATATATATATATATATATATATATATATATATATATATATATATATATATATATTATATATTATATATATATATATATATATAAACAATACGTTACTTTCCCTAAATCTTAAATCCCTAATAATTACTTCTCATAATTAACTGATCATTGGACAGTCTCATTCTTTATAAAGTATAATGTATAATTTTGACAGTGAGTTAAGAGCGGCCTAATTTGTTTTATCAGCAGAATACTAGCAATTCGACGTAATCGGATACGAATTTTTGCCAATTATGTAGCTTGTATCCATAAATTTTACGTCCCTATAAACGGAGTTACTGTAACTTTGGCGGCACTGTACCAATTCATCCCACGTTCAATTAATTTCTTTCTTGTCCAAAAGGAACATGTGTATCAAAATTTCAAGATTCTACGATTTTTCTTTCAAACATTATCGCACAGACAGAGAGACATACAACGACATGATTTCAAGAAGGCCCACTAAGTCCTTGATAAAATATTTTCTTGCTTTTTACTTTTAATTTGCCTAATTTTAAATACGCTCTGGATATTCGGCAAAGCAATGCAGCGTATTAAAACATAATATATAATCGTGTTACACCATAGTCAGTTTTTCAAGTCATATTGATTTTTGGGGCGTGGCCATTGATAATTTTTTTAGCATTCTTATAAATTTTATCAGAAAATCTCATTTTAAGTTAACATGTTTTGGCAGTCTTGAATTTGTAAAAAAATAAAAAATGATATATGGCCAATAAGTGATTGTTAAATTTTAACAATAATTACACATTCATTCTTCTTATAATTATATACCAGATTTATTAAGTAGATATTTCCTGATTTGTTAAAAAGTATTGTTATGCCGACCCTGCCTAGACCGTGCCACAGAATCTAGCCTCGATGGTTCGCGAAGAGAAATATGAACGTATGTGGCGACCAAGTAACAACCATACGACGAATCTCGAAACATCTCTATACCAGAAAATACTCGAAAAGCAGGTGTTTGTTCAACGGCCTGACGTCACGAGGGGTCTTCGATGGAAGTTCCGGAACGGAGTTAGTCTGAATGAAAGCTCGTATTATCAAGCAATAATTAAAAATATATTACAAATTAAGTAGTTGCGTTTTAGTATTAGTATAAATAAATTAAGATAGTGTTAAAAAATAACTGTAAAATAAGTGTAAATTATTAATAAATAACTAAAAACAGTGCAGTATAATACCTATTCTTAGACGCTTACGTTATATGGTCACTCAGAGAGACACATTTTTACCCAACCGATAGCTATCTATCTCTATCTCTCTCTCTTTCTTTCTCGCATGTGCTGATGTTTGGGCAAGATTATACTGTCTATGTTTGACTAATACAATTGGTGGGTACCTTATTATAAGTTTAAAATGTTTACGATTATATTAAAAATATGTCTAAATTAATAAATGAACTTGGAATTAATTAGACATTACCTTGATCTGCTATTACCTTGATCTCGTATTGGACTTGAACAGAGTCATACATGTGTATTTTGGTAGCATTAGGCTTAAATTTGACCTTGCAACTGTTAACTATTACCGCATGACATACCAGCAACACTGTTACAAGAACTATCAGAAACTGAACCAAACCAGATACAGGACACATCTGAAAAAAAAAAAGATTAGATATTACGATTATTTTTCAATGAAATTGTTATTAGGATTAGTTTTAAGATGCTTTTTAATAAGTAATTATATATATATATATATATTATATATATATATATATATATATATATATATATATAGTACAGATGGGAAAAGATAAGGGAATTAATAGACAACAGAGACGAAAGACAGGAAATCCCTATAATAACATTATCGGAATTGACGGAAACCTTAAAAGAGGTTAAAAACGGAAAAGCCGCAGGGCCTGGAGACATTCCCATAGAGCTGGTTAAATATGGGCCGACTGCACTTCTGGAATTAATAGTAGACCTTTTCAATAAATGTATGTGTGGAGACCAGGAAATTCCTAAAGATTGGAATAAATCTTATATAAGCTCCATATATAAGAGAGGGAATAAAAGAGACTGTTCCAATTATAGAGGTATTAGTGTGACGAGCTCTGTGGGCCGGTTGTACGGCAGAATATTAAAGAAGAGGGTTGAAAGACAGATACAAGATATTGAAGAACAAAGCGGCTTTCGTACCGGGAGATCCTGCCTTGATAATATATTTATCCTACGACAAATAATTGAAAAGCGTGTCGAAAGAAGTAGAGAGACCCATTTGGTATTTATAGACCTAGAGAAAGCATATGATAGTGTCCCGTTAAAGAAAATGTTTGAGGTCCTCAAAAGGTCCGGATTGGATTCGACGTATATCCGAGCGATATATAAATTGTACGAAAATGCAGTTAGTTGTGTAAAAATTGGAACCAGAACCTCAAATGAATTTAAAGTCACTAAAGGCCTAAAGCAAGGATGCTGTTTGTCACCGACACTCTTTAAAATATACGTCCAAGAAGCATTGAGGAATTGGAGAAATAAATGTAGATTTATGGGCATCGAAGTGGGACAAGAAACTCTGTATACATTGTTGTTTGCAGATGATCAGGTGGTGGTTGCAACCGATGAGGAAGATATAAATTATATGAATCGAAAATTATTTGAGGAATATGCCAAATGGGGGCTTACTGTAAACATAAGCAAAACAGAATATTTAAAAATTGGAGGAAATACCACAGATCTGAGGCTTGAAAACGCAGTCATAAAAGGCTGCAACCAGTATAAATATCTAGGAAGCATCATATCAGCAGATGGCAGAGTTAAGATAGATGTACAAAACCGAATAACCCAAGGGAAAAATGCATCCGAATACTGAATTCATTACTGTGGTCTAATAAAATAAAGATGCATACCAAACTTCGCGTATACAGAGCAATTGTAGAACCAATTACCACATATGGTGCCGAATGTTGGACGATGACAAAGAATGAACGAGATAAAGTAGACGTTGTGGAAATGGATTATCTTAGAAGGTCATGTCGAGTATCGAGAATGGAAAGAATCAGGAATGAGGAAATACGAAACCGTACAGGAATTAGAGATACTCTTTCAGATAGAATACAAGGAAGGCAATTACAATGGTATGGTCACGTGATGAGAATGGAGGAGGAGCGGTGGCCAAAGAAAGCCTTAATGTATGTTCCGCCAGAAAGAAGGAAAAGGGGAAGACCACCAAATTCCTGGAGAAGAGAAATTACAAAAACAATGCAATCTAGAGGCTTAGAAGAGGGAGATTGGAGAGATAGGAAAAGATGGAGGCTGAAATGCGGGAAGCGGCAATCGCCGTAGGACCCCCGTTATATGATGATGATGATGATGATATATATATATATATATATATATATATATATATATATATATATATATATATATATATATATATATATATATATTTTATAGTTTCATCATCGTTGTTTTTTCACAGTTTCATTATTAAATTCTGTTTTTCTAATACAACCTTTGTCAATAATTTGATGTGTAATAATAGTAGTACTACATAAGACAAAGAAATAAGAAGAAGTACTGTCATTTGCCATGTCCAGAAATGACAGTTACTCTTAACCTATAATTCAACAGTTGGCCGGCACACGTGGCCGTTGTAAACTTTTTTAACTGTCTTTTTCTTATGTGTTAAAGTATAATAATTTATTAAGTTTGGTCTTATACACCATGCAATTTTTATATGTGTTAAATATTTTAAAATTTGACTCAATCAATGAGTGGTGCGTAAAATTGTCACCTGTAAGTGAAACATCCACGAAAGACGAACCTCACTAACGTAAGTTTTTTTTAAAACCATTTTCTACAACTAATTTCGAGGATGCTTTACTAACAGTCGCACTTTATTTTCAGTTTTTCCTGATGATGAAAATAAACATTTTCGAAAGCTTGAAACTTATTTCACCGCTGAATAAATCCCAATAAACCTCAAAGCTCCGTTTTCTAACGTTGTCAGCAAAGACTTCTTTTCCTTATATATATATATATATATATATATATATATATATATATATATATATATATATATATATATACATATATATATATACATATATATATACATATATATATATATTATATATATATATATATATATATATAATATATATATATATACATATATATATATACATATATATATATATATATATATATATATATATATATATATATATATATCTATATTATAAAAAGTATTTATATGAGGGCATTCTTAAGAAATTAGCATAATAATAAGTTCAAATAGTTTTTATGTTATTTTAATAATTATATTATGAATATATTTGAGTGCGCCATCTAAATACCACAAAAGTATATTTGACTTTTGAGAACGATTTTCGAAGTAGAAATCGAAACAATAAATAAACTTATTTTAAAGTGAAATTGTGGCTTATTCCCAACAAAAATAGTAAATTATTTATTTATATCTTAGAACGAACATTATTTATTTATTTATTTTTACACACAACAGGCCGTTAAGGCCTAGGGCATTTTTTTACAACATAATCCTAATAATATTAACTAATTACAATTATTTTAAACAAAACTTTAACTTAAATATGTATATATAACATTCTTAACTACTCTGAAGGACCTGGTGTACAACATTTCTCCATTCGCTTCTATTTTGTGCTTTTATGTTCCAGTCCCTCACCTTCGCGTGTTTAAGGTCTTCCTCCGCTTTACTAATCCACCTCGTTCTGGGTCTACTTCTTTTTTTGGGGCCGAATAATTTTCTGGTTATTACTAGTTTAGGCATTCTGTTTGCTGCCATTCTTTCCACATGTCCCAACCATCTGATTCTTTGTGCCTTGACGAACTTGGTAATGGTAAGTTCTTTGTATAAAGCCATTAATTCATTGTTGGTTCTCCTCTCCCAACCATCTTCTGTCTTCCGTCCTCCGAATATGCGTCTCAATATTTTCCTTTCCCATCTTTCCAGAGTATCCTCTTCCTTCTTATTTAATGTCCATGTCTCACCGGCATATGTTACTGTGGGTCGAATTACTGTTTTATATATTCTGAGTTTACCTTGTCTAGAAACGTATTTTGAGTTCAGTAGGGCTCTTAAACCACCTAATTTTTTATTCCCTTTTGCTATTCTGGCTTCGAGCTCCAATTTCTCTTTTCCATTTTCATCGAAAACTACACCGAGGTATTCAAATTTGTCCACCCTTTTAAAACTATAGCTTTTACCACTTACTGACCTCACACTAAAGTCTTCTTTTTTCCCTTCTGTCCCTCCCATGATCATATATTTGATTTTGTCTTCATTTAGTTCCAATCCGAATTTCTGTGCTTCTTCGATGATTTTCTTCACAACTCTTCTTAATTCTTTCTCGGTTTTTGCTAGGATCGTTAGATCATCAGCAAATGCCAAGCACTGGTGCTCATTTTTCATGATCGTTTCTTCCACCTTCATGCTGCATTTTCTGATTACAGTTTCTAATACTAAGTTGAATAATGTAGTAGATAAAGGATCTCCCTGTCTCAAGCCTTTTGCAACCGTAAAAGGAAGTTGTATATTTGTTCGTAGAACGAACATATTTTAGAGAATAAAAACAAGTAGGAATTATCAATACACATAAAACAGTATATATATATATATATATATATATATATATATATATATATATATATATATATATATATGTATATATATATATATATATATGTTTATATATATATGTATATATATATATTTATATTTATATATATATATATATATATATATATATATATATATATATATATATATACAGGGTGATTGATTAGTGTGAGGAAGCTCAGTAGATCTGTTATAGTAAAAATTACAAAAAAAAGTTATTAACAAAAATTGTAGGCAGCTTTAAACTCCATATTTTAAAATTCCTACAAGGTGTTCCATAAGATGGTGGCAGACCAAACTTATGTTTTTTTAAATGAAACACCCTGTATTTTATTTTAAATTTGAAATCTGCTTCACTTCCACATTACAACAATGTAAAGTTTTATTATGTTATACCGGGTATTTAAAAAGTTATAACCAATATTACCTGAAAATCGTATCAATTTTAACTCCCTGTATAATCAAAAAGGATTGTAGGAACATTGATCTATTGCAACCATAGTTTTTTAATAATTGTTAAAAACTATAAAACATATTCATTTTCATAATATTCGTTAAATCAAATACAGGGTGAGTCAAAATGCATTATTGTCTTGGTAATTTTAAATAGAACACCCTGTATTTTATATCACTATCGAAAAGAACTAATATCGTACTTCATATTTTATGAAGTACTCCCTATACCTAAAGTTATTGGTTTTAAAGATATTTTTATTTTTCCATCAAAGTATTAATTTGGTAGTTATTTTAACGTTTACCAATAATTATTGTGAGTTGGCCATGATTGATTTGTCAGAAACCGACATGTTTGACATTAATATTTATTAATTCAGTATTGGGGTACACCGTAAATTAGCAACAATTATTATTTAGTAATTCAGTAATTGATTCAATTTAAATTAGCAATGATGAATTTTACTACTGATGAAATGGTAGATATGATCTGGATATTGGGGAATGCAATAAAAATTCATTACTATCAGCTAG